CAAGTAAACGACGAGGAAAATTTGCACTCCATTTTTATTAGAAAAACAAAGGCCAAGTAAATAAACTGATATCTGGGACTAATTTTTTTTAAAGGAAGCACAACTAGTAAACAAGCTGATATCTGGTATTTATTTTAGAATAATTGAAGACAGCTCCAATTCCAGAACATCAAGATGGACTGAAACCAATAGCCTACACAATACATGTGCCATAAACTTTGCAAGAACAGCTAGGTGGCGCAGTGGAGAGAGAGCTGGGCCTGGAGTCAGGAAGATTCACCTTCCTGAGTTCAAATCTGACCTCTGACATAGTCACTGCACTGTTTGCCTCAGTTTCCTCATCTGTAAAAGGAGCTGGAAAAGGAAATGGCAAACCACTCCTATATCTTTGCCAAGAAAACCCCAAATGGGGTCATGAAGAGTTGGACATGTCTGAACAATAACAGCAAAATTTTTGCAAACAGCTTTACATATGCTTTCTGTTTGATCGTCACAACCACCATCTGAAGTAGGTCCTATTATTATCTCACCATTTTACACATGAGGAAACTTAGGTTTAGAGAAGTTCAGTGATTTGTCCAGGGTCTCACAGCTAGTAAGTATTTAAGGGAGGATTTCAGCTTAGGATTTCTGACTCCAAGTTCAACATGAGCCAGACTTTCTCCATCTTCAGTACTCTAAAATAATAAGGGCTCATTCCTTTAGGTCATGAGTTCTTAAAGGTCTCTGATTTTTTTCAGAAATAATGATGATAATAGCTAGCATTTATAAGAAATGTTAGGCTTGTAAAGTACTTTACAAATATCTCATTTTATCTTCATAACATCCCTGGCAGTCACTGTGCTATTACTACCTCCAATTTACAGAAGAGGAAACTGAGGCAGACACAGATTTTAAGTGACTTGCCCACGGTTACAAAGCTAGGCAGAGTTTGGCAGAATTTGAACTCAGGTATTTGGAACTCTGACATATCCCTGAATTGCTCAAGGACTCAGAATGATGAGATTAAATATGGCAATATAATCTAGCTATGTGTCTACATGTGAAAGTGGTCAACCTTTTTAACACCCTTACTTATAACGGTTGATCCTTCCATCCTGTTACACACCCATCCATGTTGCTGACTGACTCTTGAAAGATTTTACATCATCATCTGTACAGGTTTTGGCAGCTACATGGTACAGTGTGCAGAATGCCAGAACTGGAGTCAGGAAGACTCATCTTCCAGAGTTCAAATCTGGCTTCAGACACTTTACTATGTGACCTTGGGCAAGTCACTTACTGTTTGTTTCAATTCTTCACTTGTAAAACAAGCTGGAGAAAAATATGGTAAACAACTCTAGTATCTTTACCAAGAAAAACCCCAAATGGGGTCATGAATAGTCAGGCACTGAAACAATTAAACAACAAAATTTAGGGGGCAAAGTACTCTGACGAGATGAGAGAAAGGCAAATCTTAGGTCGTTCATGTCTCTTGCCCTAATAAAGCATATAACAGCAATAATATTATCTGATGACATTATAGCTCTTCAAAACAAAGTGCTCTGAGATTCCAGAGGGAACTATATTGACTATCTTTCTGAATAAATTGGGAAATGGAGATGTATATGTCTTTAGATGTTTTACTTATCATTAAGTAACCAGAATTATGAGAAATTGTCAGAGATTATTATCAACTACATATGTCCTGTCAACTAATGATGAAGAGCTTGATAAACAAGTTACCTATGACAATTCTTAAAGCTTGATCATGCTCAGTATCTTTCTCGTTCTCATTTCTCTACCTCCTCAGCTTCTTTTATAGTCTCATCCTATCCTATTTTCCACTTTTCCTTTCTTCTTCACAGCCCATTCATAGGCACCCAGTGAAATCCAGATATACTGCTCAACCTCTGCTAACTGCAAACAGGACTAAAAAGGATAACTCTTTTTCAAATGTGAAGATAATATAACAGCTCAGTATAAGAACAGCAACTAGAGAAAAAGGATCTTAGAAGTCATTTATTTGGCAGAGAGTGGAGCCTCAGAAGGATGAAGTAGCTTAACTGCATAGGTAAATCTGGAATTCACACCTGAGTACCCTGATCCCAAATCAGGTCCACTTCCTTTCCACTATCCCACAAAGACACAGTAAGGGAACACAACTGCTATTTTCAGCTGGATGTCATCTTACATTCAAGAGTTAATAATTTTCTGCAGTTTCTCTGTTTTCAGGGATGCGTGGGATTATAGCTTTCAATAAGAACTCATCTGTTAGGCCATTCGATGGCCCTGGTCAGGAGAATTCTATCACAATTGTGAAGGGGGGAAAAAAAAGTCTATTCAGAAAAGAAATACCTGTGTAAAGGCAGTATTTTGTCAGTTCTGATCAGCCTCTGGGACAATACCTGCTTATTGATCTTGAAGCCAATTTTTGCTGTAGTCTTTACAAGATTAACTACTCCAGCACTTTTCCATGGTCCACAGTGTAGCACCAAATGAATACTGACTCACATTTCCTTAGTACTTTTTTTTGCACTCTTCTTCAAACCACTCTGTAAGTCAGGTAGTGAAAGTACTATTACTCCCATATTGCAGAAGAGGAAACTGAGCCTCAGAGAGATTGACCAACTTGCCAAAGTTCACACAGTCAGCTAGTGTTATAGCCAAGGCTGAAACCCCAATGTCCTCACTCAACAGTCTACTACTATACCAGCTCCTATATTTGCCTCAAATATACTGTAAGCTTCTCGTAGGTTTACTTCAAATCAAGTCAACCAACATTTACTAACTGCCTACTATGTGCCAGGTACTGTACTAAGTACCCAGGATAGAAAGAAAGGTAAAAGATAGTCCCTTCACTCAAGAAACTCACAAACTAATAGGGGAGACCATATTCAAACAACTATGTATAAACAATATCGACAGAGGACAAACAGAAAATAATCTTAGATAGAAGACATTAGCATTAAGGTGGAATCAGGCAAAGGCTTCTTGTAGAAGGCTGGATTTCCTTCCGTATCTATTCCTTCTCCTACAAGCACAAGCTAAGCATTCTTTCATTCATTTAACAAGCATTTATTATTGCACCTATTATGTACAGTAGGTGGCTACTCTGGGGTAAGTAGGTAGCACTGGACAGAATGCCAGAGGACTCCAAATTCCGCCTCAGACATTTCCTAGTTGTGTAACCCTGGGCAAGTCCCTTGAATGCTCCTTCAGTTTCCTCGTCAGTAAAATGGGGGCAGTAATAATACCTATTTCCCAGGGCTGCTGGGAAGATCAAATGAGATAATAATTGCAGCCCTTGGCACACAGTAAGCATTATGTAGATGTTAGTCATTTGTTGTTATTATCAAAGCTTTGTTTCAGCTACAGAACACCTTCAAGGAGCTAACATTCTATTGGAACTAATACTCAGCTACCAAACACTTAGAAGATACCAAAAAAGCTGATTCATTTCCAAATACTAATTTCATACAGGAGGAGGTGTCCATCCATTTCCAGAACAAATAGCCTTCAGAAGAATGGAGGCGAGAAGGCTATTCAAATGTTACAAAGTACTATAGTTACCACAAACTTAGGAATGCAAATGGCATGCCTGTCATAACTCTAGGTAACTTCCAGATTTATTTCAATCCTCCTTAAATGCGAGCACTTATTTAAGCAGACTGATAAGCATAAACCCCAAGTAACCTTCGTACATTTTGTACACGTGTCTGAGAGTCACAGGTCAGCTCCTGAGACTGTTATGGTTCTGGCTTCAGACAGACACTACGTACTCTCAAGCACCCACAAACATAACTGCTACGGCAGTTTATTACAATGTCAACAACCAACAACATTTAGCACGAACTTTATCAGAGCCTTACAGACTGCACGATTTTCTTTTTTTTTTTTTAACGTCAAACCGGAGTCGGGGGTGATAAAAGGCAGCTGGAGGGGAATAAACTTTGCTTTGGCAACACTCAAAAAGCCAAAGTTTCATTATATTAAGTCTGGGAATGATTTCTAAGGAATCCTCTGACCAACCGCTCTCCACAGAATGTAAATAATACAGTGTAGCCTACTCCTTTTCACTCTTGGGTGTGATTCACTGCGCTGGATTTCTGGGGCCAAAAGGTAACCCAGTTAAAGCCTAGGTGACACTTGATTTTCTAAAATGGTATGGTGCTCGGCAGCCGACATTCACAAACACCTGACATAACGAGCTTCCAAGAAGGGAGATAGTACTTAAACAGAAGTCCTTAGCGCGCGCGCCAGCGCGCACGCACACACACACACACACACACACACACACACGCTCTCCGCCAACTTTCACTTAATAAGCTCCCCAAACCCTCCGACTTTTCGTCTGAATCAAAAAAACGCATCTTATCCAAACAGTTTTTGCTTCCTCCAAACCTGACCAAAGTCCACGATGTACAGCTGCAATCGTTCACATCCCCAGAACGCGGAAATGCCCGCTCTCGTTAAAGAGTAGCTACGGGCAGCTTTAAAGAGTTCTCTGACAAGGCAGACCGAGCGTGTCCGAGAGCATTCGCTCCACTCTTGGCAACAAGATTTTCGCAGCCACAACTGAAGAATTCATTAAAGAGGAGAGAAACAATACATTTCCTACAGTTATGATTTGAGGGGTAGGCTGGGGTGGAGGGGCATCCTACTATGACAGCAGATTTCCTAGTAGAAAAAGGCGGACACACACTTATGCACACGTACACACCCCCAGCGCGAAGTTTGAGAACCTTGGAGGACCCAGTCTTGAAGCCTAAGGACTTTGCGTATTAGCACGAATCTGTCGATAAGTAAATGTTCCCCCTCTCTGGGAAACCTTATTCACCTCCGAAGAAAAAGCAAACTATCCATGGAAAGAAATGAACGCGCTCGTGCGCGTGCACACACACACACACACACACACACACTCACTCACCCACAAGCTCACAAGCTAACACAGACAGACGACTTGGGTTCCAGCCCTCGGTACAAACTTCGCCCAGTCCAGAGTGCATGGTTATACCGACCGTCCTAATGCTAAAAGCATACGAGCGTCCCTCCTCCGGCGCACAAAACAAAGAGAGCCGGCTGCAAGGCATGTGGACCAGCTCCTCCAGCGCACCGTTCCCGCCCGCTCAGTCGGCGCCTTCCACAGCGCTGCGAACACGCTGCCCAGCCTCCAGCCTTTACCTTTCTGCCCCGCGCGCCCGGCTTGCTTGCCTTGCCTCCTTCCACCAGCAGCGCGCCGCCCAGCTACAGGAAAGCCACGCAGCCCGGGAGGAAGCAGCAATCCAAAGTAGGGGGTGGGGGCGGAGGGTGTCAGGGAGGGGAGGCGGGCTGGAGCAAAGCCACGCGAACGTGGCTTTTCTTCAGGCTGGCAGCTGTGGAGGAACTTTTCCAGGTTTTCGAGTTGGAGGTGGAGATTGAGGGAGACTGGAAAGCACGGCCGAGCTATGGGAGTCGTCCCCGGGCTTGCCTTTGGAATAGGGGAGCCCGGGCGAAGAGCAGCAGTTGCAGAAGCAGCCGCTGTGCTCGGAGTCCAGCCCAACTCCGAAGCCCCTACAGTGAAGGGGATGAGCCGCTGCAGCCCTCTCTAGGAAGCAGCTGCAGTCGCTGGTCTCATTACCCCACCCTGAGGCTGGCTCTCCGATGGCTTTCAGAGTCCAGGGGCCACTGAAGATAAAGGAGTTATGCGACTAGCGCCTTAGCCTGTCTAAGCTCGGTGGCGTTGGTCTTGCTAGAGTCCTAACTTGGACAGTTGTCCTCTCGGGGAGAAGTTTCCTTAACACCACGCTGAGTTTTCATCCAGGGGGTGCAATACGAAAGAATTTTAAAATGTTCCAGGGAAACCTGGAGTAAGATCCCAAATTTTCCAGAATGGAAAGGCTGGGTGTTTTTGGGTTTTTTGCTGCTCTAATTGTGTCAGTAGACGCAGTTCTTATAAGACGTAGATTTAGAATGGAAAGGAATTCAGAGGCCATATAGTCCAACCTTTTAATTTTACAGATGCGGAAACTGAGGCCCAGGAAGTTACTGTGATTTGCCCAATGACACACTGGTAGTAAATGGAAGAAATGTAATCTGGCCTTCTGATTCTACAGCGAAGATACAAACATTTAAGTGAACATATGTTCACAAATATATGTACGTAGTAAAGAAAAAGGGGTTAGCCATGAAGCCTGGTGTCTTGAAAATCAGCCTTCATGGAGTTAAAAGACATAGCTATGTCAGCTTGTTTATTTATCATATGACCTTGGACACCATTTCATGAGAATTACAGGATTTGACCTAGAAAGAAACAGATTTAATCTAGCCCATCACCTTCATTTTATAGTTGAGGAAAAAAAATGAAGCCCTGAGGGCTGAAGTGTGTAATAAGTAAATGCTTGTTGACTTGACTAGTAAGAAACAGCTGATGATAGCAGGCCATAGGAGCAAGAAGACTAGGGTTCTGCATCCCACACAGACTAGCTGTTCAACCCTAGGCAAGTCGTTTAATGTTTCAATGCCCTCCCAAGCAGCTCTGCAGAAAATGAACACCAGCTCAGGGACTGGAGGGGAGGGAAGGAAAGTAAGCTTTTGGATCATCCAAGCTTTGAAAACCTCCATTCATTCAATTGCCCATTCATTCATTCAACAAATCTATGATGTTATGCAATGGACAGGATGTGGTGAGAGATCAAAGCATCTCCCAAGTGCAGAGATTGAAGAGACCTTAAAGGCAATCCAGTCCCAAACTCTCATTTTACAGGTGAAGAACTGAGGCCCAGAAAGTGACTTACCCAGGGACACATACCCAAGATCCTTAAGTGTATTTATAGCCAAGACTGGTTCCAAGTATAGCATTCTAGCCGCTCTATGCCATAAAACTTGTTCCCGGTCTGCAGTGAAATTACATGGGGAGATAAGACATGTAAACAAATAAAAACTATACGATAACTCCCATATAGGTTCAGATGAATCTGAGATGACACATTAGGCAAATCAGGAAAAACTCCTTAAGGAGATAGCAGGTGAATTGGGTCTTGAAGGAGGAGTGGGATTTTGAAAGGAAAGATGGCATTTATATACCTCTGGGTATACACAGGCTTCACACCTGTGTGAAGGCTAGGCAAGGAATGTTTGGCAGTTACTGTAATAATAATTCATATTACATATTCATATATGATGTATAGCAGCTTAGGGTTTTGAAAAGGTTTTTACCTATGTTATTTCATCTTCATAACAATCCTTTGAGGTAGATGCTACTGTTATCCTCCTTTTACGGATGAGGAAACTGGGGCTCAGAGCAATGAAGTAATGTACCCAGAGGCACTCAGTAAGTGTCTGAGATAGGATTTGAAACCAATTTATCTTGACTTCAAAGTTCAGCAATCTATCTGCTATGATACATTGCCTCTCACTGCCTACCAATCTCTGGTGATGCTACTACCAAGAATACAATTTGTGTCCTTAACAAAATCGAACCAAAAAGCAATGACTGATCTCAGAGCTTGGGAAGTTACTGTATTCCGGGGTTTGGGAAGTTTATTCCCCTCCCTCAAGGCATCAGGATTGGTTAGGGAAAGGGAGAATGCTCCAGCTGGAGAAGATCCTAGAATATAAATCTAGAAGGGAATTTAGACATCAGTCAAGTCCAAAATCTCTCACTTTACAGATGAGAAAACTGAGAGAAGCAAATGACTTTCCAAAGATCATATGGTTCAAGTAGTAAATAAAAAGCTTGTTTCTAATAGAGGTCTCCTGACTCCAAATCAGTGTTCTTTCCACCACACTACTCTGCCTTCCCCTGAGGCAGGGGAGGTTCACTTAGATCCACATGAAGAAACCATTTAGAAATTGCAGAAACATTACTTTTTAATTTCACATCCTCTGACTGCTTTAAGGGGAAGGGAAAAAAACCACTTTTCTCACATTGACAAGATCTCTAGAAGTAGAAAAGGACAAGCAGATACGTATAACCCTGGTCAAATCCCAAACTGAGGTCAGCACCAGATGACAGAGGCTTAATCCTCCATATAAATCTAGTTCTAATCCTTCCTCTGGCCACAAAGAACCACTCCCCAGCTCAATTGACTTCAATGCAACATGTGCCAGCCAGTGATATAAAAACAAGTCTCGGCCTTCCAGGAGCTTGTATTCAGTTTTTAAATTAAAAAAAAAAAAATACAAAATGCTGTATTGTACATCTCATGTGCCTCACACAAATTACCTTAATTCAGTCACTGCTATAATTTCAATAGTACTTACCCATTGTAACATCCTTGGATTATATTGAAAAGTATTTACAAAAAGGTCCAGGGACAGGGCAAGCAGAGTCACATTAATTGACAGTGCAGAAGTATATCATTAATACCATAATCATTTCAAATTTTGCATTTTTTAAATTTTCACTTCAGTTTATAACCAGAGGCTTAAATCATTGTTCTTTCACCAAAATAAAATCTTGCCAAAAGAGACAATGCATAACACAGTAACCAAAAAAGATTCTTCGATTCCAGACATGGAAAAGTAAAGTAGAAAAGGGACCAGATTTGGTATGCTGAGACCTAGGTTCAAATCTTAGCTCAGCCACATATTATTGGTGAGACATCAGACAAGTCCTTTTGCTTCTTTGCGTTACTTTCCTCATCTATGCAGTGATAGATTTGGACTAGATGGAGTTTGGACTTCTGAAGTCACTTTCATTTCTAAAATTGGATGATTCTGAGTTCTACTTAAATGAATTTGTCTTCTCTGCCAGTGAGGTACTGAGCCAGGCCAGTGGCCCTACAAAAGAAAAGAGGAACAGGATCTCCTCCTATTGACTCAGTCAGATTATGACTACAAATCTGTTGCCTTCTCTTTGTCCAAATCATGGAACTATTTCCTGCCCATGCAAGTTATGCTACATCTGGCATATCAAGATACTATTTTCCCATTCCCCAATTGATAAATGGTCAAAGGATATGAACAGGCAGTTTTGAGAAAAAAATCAAAACTATCACTCATGAAAAATGCTCTAAATCACTAATTAAAGAAATGCAAATTAAAACAACTCTGAAGTACTCCCTCACATCTATCAGACGGGTTAGCATGACAGAAAAGGAAAATGACAAATGCTAAAGGGGATGTGGGAAAACAGGTACACTAATGCTGTGTTCGAGCTATGAACTGGTCTATCCATTCTGAAGAATCTGTCCCACAGGTTCTACAAAACTCTGTATGCCTTTGACAGAAATACTGCTAGTATGTCTGTATCCCAAAGAGATCAAAGAAAAAGAAAAGGACTTATATGTTCAAATGTGTGTGTATAGATATAGATATATCCATTATATACACACATATGTATATATATATGCACGTGTGTGTGTGTGTGTGTGTGTGTATAAACTCTGGGATGACAATTAGAAATTTAAGTGATGCCCATTAGTCGGGGAATGGCTGAACAAGACATGGTATATTATTATGAAGGGTTGTTGTAGTATAAGAAATGATGAAGGGGGTGGCTTCAGAAAAATCTGGGAAGAGTGAGTGAGCAAACCTAGAAGAATATTGTACACAGGAACAGCTATATCATAATGATAATCAACTGTGAAAGACTTGGGTACTCTGATCAATATAGTGACCCAAGACAATACCAAAAGACACGTGATGAAAAATGCAATCCACTTCCAGAGAGAGAGAGAGAGAGAGAGAGAGAGAGAGAGAGAGAGAGAGAGAGAGAGAGAACTGAAAAATGCTGAGTGTGCAGAATGAAGCATATTTTTCACTTTCCTTATTTTTCTTGCCTTTTTTTTTATTATGGCTAACACAAAAATATTTTGCATGACTTCACATGTATAATGGATATCATATTTCTTGCCTTCTGAATGGATAGGAGAGGGTGTAGAGGGAGGGAGAGAATTTGGAACTGAAAATAAACCTTTAAATGAATAAATAAAAAGTTTTAAAAATTATATTCTTTTCATGCCATATTCCAAATTAAGATTTCTAGTTTGTTTTCATGAGGAAAGAAGAAAAACAGGAAATAGTTCTTTATTTTTCTGGACATTGTATAAAACTTGTATTCATTCCTTTCACTCTCATCAAATGAGATATTTATAAAGTGCTCAGCACAATGCATAGCACATAGTAGGTGCTCATGCTTAATAAATATTTATTCCCTTCCTTGCCACCCCTTGTAGTTTTCTTATCTGTAAAATGAGGACATTGTACTAGAATCATTTCTAAAAATTCTTCCAGCTCTATATTGAAGATTTCAAGAAGTGAACAATAAATATTACAGAAAAAAAGACTCGGTTACCTGATATATAACTCTAACAACAAGACCTTATCCATTCAGAGCTAGCATTAGCATGTGTTGAGAGAGGCTGTGTCTTAGGCAGCAAAATGGGGTGGGGTTGTTATTTTTCCCCTAGGCAGCACCTACTACAAACTAGCTTTCAACAGCCCCAAGCTGTCATCCATCTCCCAAGGTCCTGTAGCTTTCATGCCCTTTTCCATTCTAGAGCTAAGTTCCTTAGCCCCAGTTGGCGTAGTTGGCTATACCATAGGAATCTGCTCTAGATGAGAGTGAAGACGAGTGAATAAAGGGAGGAGAGATTATGTGAGGATGAGACT